GTGTGTGTGTGTGTGTGTGTGTGTGTGTGTGTGTGATTCAAGCGAATAGCGTGCTGGCCATTGCGTTTGACGGTAGCGACTTTGGCGGCTACCTCGGTGGTGGTCTAGCCGGCTGGTTTTTTGTGGTTGGAGTTAGTGTGTCCATTTGACCACTCGACATCCCGTGCGAAGGCAATGGTTATATCGGATTAATGAAGGCAGAAATCGGTCAGAGTGAGAAAAGGTTGCCTTTAGGTATTTTAGTTGGCGCATAAGTTGAGGCCATGAAAGGCCAAGAGCGATTTCAAAAATACCTCACATCAGTATGTAAAGAAGCAGGAAATTCACGAAGCAAGGTAACTCAGAAAAAAGTATAAAGGTAGATATCTGTTTAAGCTCAAACGATACCCAGAAAATAATTTGTTTTTCTTGGGCCTTAGGCTATCATCACACCACAAGGAATCACAAAACAAACCTATGCATTGCGTTAAATTCTTGTGTAAAACATTATTTACTATACAAGTGCCTTGCACGAACAGACCCAAAGGGCCGGCAATCGGGCGGTCAGAGAATCAGGCCCTTGTCGGTGTGTGTATGTCTGTGTGCGGCTGGAAATGTGACTTATTTGATTTACGAATTCCTTAGACAAACTCGTCTTGATTGGACCGGAGGGAAACCAATTAGGAGAGATATGCGAAAGTCCCGTTCATAGCGTCTCCCACGGCAAGTGGACTATCCACCTGAATTCTGCGCTTCGTAACACCAGCCGAGAAGGCAGATGCCTTTGCTGTCAGTCAGTGGCGACGAATTTTATCACTTGGTTCCGTCCAGTCGCCATCATTTTCCTGTTGTTAATGGCCGGTCACCTCGCAGCAATCTCACTCACCGCTGCTTTCATCCTTCGCGCTCAAGAGGCGGATACCGGTCTTGTTGCGGAAGTAAGTAGCGTCACGCGAGTAGCTTAGATACTTCACATTTCACCGGCTCACGGCAAAATTAGGTGTGCGATTTGGGCCAACTCTGAGATCCACGTGGTCTACATAGCAACGCACAATACCTTGACCAATGCTGGTTAGCCAAAGTTGGCTGTGAACTAGTGCAGGTGGGTCACGTTGTGCGTGTGTAGTGTAGCACAAATGACAGCAGCACAATTCCCGAGGTTAGATGTTAGATTGAATGATGTTTAACTCAGCGATGCAATATCGATTTTACCAATCGACACCTTCCACGCTAATGAGCCATCTTAATTTCAAAACTGTTGAAGCTGAATGTCGACACTCCTTGAGATGAGTCCCATTTTTATTTACAAAAGGAAAACCAAATGTGAAACGTATTCTGTTGAATAACACGCAAATGAGAGGCTACCTTTATCTCACGAATTTCAAAAGCTGTGACTTCTACATTCGTTGGTTGTTACAACTTTCTGTACAGGCTGTTATAAATTAGGAAGTTCAAAAAGCTCTGTGGTCTCATTTACGTTTTATCAAGGTTTTCAGCCTGCGTTGTGACAATTTTTCCAGGTACCGCCATGTTGTCGCCTCCAAATACTCAAGTTGCCATGATTGAGTGACGGTGAATATGAATCCTTTTGAGTGCTGTAGCATCACATCTATTGAGTCAAATTCAACTCTGTTGTCACATTTATTTGTCGCGAGGCTGCTGTCAGACCACCTCAGCCGCCGCAGTTAGTGAAAAGGTTAGGAAAGCGGGTAATCTGACTGTCTGTTGAGAGCAATTTGTCAATTTTATGGCGACGTAGTCAGCTTCGATGAATCACGGTGGTCCAAGTATCCGAGTACAACAAACGCGCCAGCATTTAAGTTACTTATTCTGTCATCAAAATTGCGATCCCTCTTACTTCAACAGACGACACCACTCTACGCTCTTGCTAACTTTGTCGCAAATATTCGCGAGATTTCGTCATCGCCTGCAGGAACTTCTACAAGTGCCAATCGCGGATGTTATTTGCACGCTCGTAAAACTCCTCCCCGATTAATGCCTTTTATTAACCGCAATTCTCATTAAGACCACGTGACGTTATAGTTGTTAAGTATGGCAACCACCGCCACTGCCTAATTATTTGTGTCTGAGGCCCTACTTTGGTTACTGCGTTCTGGTGGTATTGCGTGTAAGTGTAACTTTGCTTATCTATTTCACCACGTGAGCTGTGATTTTTCCCAATAAAGGCCCTCTCTGCAGCGACCTGCTAGGCAAGTTGTGCTGGGAGGTGTTTTGAGCGAATCCCGGCACCCCCTTCTGATCTTACCTACTAGAGGCCGAAATTTCGGAGATTATAATCACACGACAGTATAGTCGTTTTCAGAACCAGAGTGTCTGTGGAATCCTTTGGGCGTTTTTATGCTTATTTAAGGGGCCATTTTGTCACACTTGCGGAACCGTAGATTTTTGTTTCCGAGAGAGTGTTTAGTGATGTAAAGAACCGGTGTCGCCACCACACTTTATGTCGATGACAGGCTTTCCTAAGATTTGTGGTTTAAGGACTTGTGCATGTAATTATTTGCATTTCAGGAGCGTATGCTCTTTAACTATACTACTGATTGTGATGTGATTGTCCGACCAAGTCAAAAGACACCATACCGATAAGCCAGAATCTCGCTTTGATTACTAATTGTGATGCGAAGTGACCAGGATTTTCTTAACCTGAAAATGGTTCTTTCACAACTTGCAGCCGAATTCGCTGATCTTATAGGTTGATTGAAATGGTAATTCACATTTCCTGAATACTTCCTCTAAACTCCATTAGCTACTCAGAGTAAAGCTAAATAGGATCTCACATTTATTTGCTTATAAATAAATCACATCCTAAGCGAAATTGGCAAAATCGATTAGATGAAGTACTTTACATGGACTTCCTACACCCAAGCGGTTCTCAATGCACAGTGATCTGACAAAGCGATTGTTTTGCATCCAGCAGTGCCAACTCGTAGGTACCACAACCGCACACTTTGACGCAAACAAACTAAAATGCTTGTTAAAATGGATCATATTTTTGTAAATTAGAAATCCTATGGTCTCTGCTCGTGGAATTGTGAAGAGAAAATCAATAGGGCTGATCCGATTCATTTGTATAGGATGATGGCATAAATAGTGCCGTCAACTTTCCCCATGATATTTGAAGACTGCCTCAAAACGTGGGTGCTGTTGTTTTCCAGTCCCTGTATCTTGATTTGGCACTCCTAGATACCGTCGCCTACACTACCTTCTTAAAGGTCTCCTCCCAAGCCCCAAGAATGCCTAGCCTAGCAACCACTTATTTGATATGAGTTTTTATTTTGAGTCGTGTTGTAAAGTACCAGTAGTCCAAAGCCAGATAAATGAAGTAATCCTGTAATGCCTCCGAATCTCTCAGACCTTATGCAATTTCCGCAAACAGTCGATAGTACGCATATGTTGAATGGATATATCACGAATAGTTGAATTACCAGAGACTTTAGAAAGTAAAAAATTTCTGTTGAATTTCTAGGTCTCAAATATCTTTGTCGAGGCGAAACCATTCTACCTTCAAACATCCTCCGACGTGTCGGAGTCGGCAGCAGCGAGATGCTGGCTGCCACTGGAATCCGATCGGAGTTGCTGCGGTGCTCGAAGCGTCCAGGATTGGATCGGTGACCCATTGCACACCAACAACCTGGCAGGTGATGCTGCTGGTGAGTAAAAGATCCTGACACCGCTTACCTGTAACCCTAGGTTAGAGTGCCTGTGGCAAGCATCGGCATTCGTCCGATCATATAAGCTATGTTCAAATGGAAGATTTTACAATGAGCTCAAAGAAGCCACTCTGTGTACTACAACCAGTTCCATCCGAGATATTGCATTACTTTAGAACGATTCCGCTCACAGTATTTGATGTGTTGATCACGTCGACCTCGCCAGATTGCTCCTAAAATGACCTTGACGGAGTCGAAAGAGATTTGTCGTGCTCACCTCGGTAGCAACACTGACCTTGTGATAACATCACTTTGATATGCAAGAAGTGATAGGTGGTGACCTCTAGTTTATCCAAATCACGACTTGATGAGCGAGTGTTCTGATGATAGGGAATCTTAAAATGACTCCTAACCTTCTCAATATCTGGCTAGAGCATTCTGAGGTGGCCGGGATGGGTAGAGCCACTTGTGTACTCCTACCACAAATTCACACGTTTTGAATCGGTTAATTTTCCAACCAAAGGCTCCTTGAAGAGAGCTAATGCAGATTTCCTGGATGTTGAATTGATTATACCGCCGTTATGCAATAGCCCTTTATAAATGAACGACAAATCTTGTTCTCAATGGTGTTGTGGTGCGGAGGTTGTTAGACAGTGGCTTGAGATTGTGTAGATTTTCCGACCCAAATTGAGTATTTAGAATCCGTAACATCTCATTTATAGGGCTTGTTTTGAAGCCAGGTAAATCTTGTCTACCCTGCGTGTTTTCTGGAGACAAAGTACCAGTCACACGCAAATGGCCTTATGCACCACGCTAGTCGTCTTGGGTGTTTCAATACGCTCACGCGATTAAGATATTGTGCATTCCTCACATCCAGTACTTGAGTTCACCCCCGTGTTACTTAAAATCGCCTTTGATCTGTGGAGGGCTATAACAGCAGTCCCTCTTGGCTGTAAGAAGTGGCCTAATATCCATTACAAAATACTAAGTTACAACAATTCGGTGATCGTCTTGGTTACTCCTCGGCAATAGAACAGTAATTATTTATGCAATTGCTGACAAAAATGGATTAACTGGAGGCGTGATTTTGCCGTGTTTACTGGTAGTTAATGGCATTAAACGGAAACAATTTTCCACCAAACGATTCCTTTGTAAGTAAATTCGGTGCGGCTGTCTGTAAGCGTAATGAAGAAACCAGATGGTAAATAAGAGGTGATGGTTTAATGTCGAAGGAATTAGTTCGCTTATCAACTTTGATCATTGACATTTTGTCTTTGAGCAAACGACGTATAACGGATTTTCGCCCCTGCACTAAATACCATTACAGCCGCATTCTTAGACCAATTATTTGTGGCTTTTCAGTTATCAGTTTAATTTAAATCACGTACAACTTTTAATCATTGTTTTACTTCTCAAGCAACGTTGAAGCAAAGAGCATTTAATGGGAAGGAGTGCATTTGTTACGTAATCAAAAATTCACCGATATCGACACGACCTCTGTTCGAGCTGACCGAATTTGGTTGGGTTATTCTTTGGGGTCGATTTCTAAAAAAAAGGGTCACATCCAGCCAACGTTCATGCAGACAGCAAAGAAAGTGGACACATTAATTAACGGACCAAAGCTTGCTTCAGTGGATCAAAGTTTTAGGGCCAGAGAATGCGTTCAACTACTTACGCGCGCTACCGAGGCTCCTATGTGTGGCGTGTCGACGGTCGGTTTAGTGTGTGTAGGACTCCGGAATGGATGGATGGAAGTCGTTTTTGCACAATTGAACGTTTTGTGTGGCGCTGACATTGTGTGCACTCTCGAGTGCAAATCTGACGGGGTTTGGTTTAAACGCACAAGCCGATTCACATTAACAATCCGAAAAGTCACTGGATCTCTCGGTCACCCACGAAAACCTCCTCGTAATTGGTAATTTTGGGTGTTCCTGTAGTTATTCTGTCGGACGGATTGGTGAAATGTATTTTTAACTTTTGAAAAGTGAGGGTTAAAGGGTGAGGCGTGTCGCTTTGGGTAATTGGTTAGTCAATGTTTCATAAACAGTCATTTCCACCCTTGAATTTGGGTGTGGATCAGTGGCAAACCACTTATCGTTTTTAATGGCGTCGCCCGCTCTGCTAGAATTGCCACTACTTAAACTCAAATTTGGCTGTTCAGCAAACGCATTGGTCACCGAAACCATATATGCCTGACAATGCTTAAAGGTACGTATCTATTCAGTGGCCTGCTTTGGGTGTTTCATCCAAATTGTACTTTCTGTTAAGGAAACAAATGTCCTTATTCACAAAACATTCACGATCCCATTGTTCCATTGTACAACTTAAAAGTGACCATGCAATTGTACAGGTAACTCTTTACATTCAGACGCATCCAGGAAATGTATATGATCGCAACTGCTGAAGCCCGACCTCTAGTCCACTAACACAATCTTTCAACCATTAATTGATGTCTACGTGCTCTTCTGTGGTATATGAATGCTGACTGGAAATGACCCTTTTTAAAATTTGACTCGCAAGCTGTAAAGCCACCATCTGTTCCCACGTAGTAGACAGTCCAAAATCAATCTAATCCAATCAAAATGAGTGTCCGAGCTAGCCAAAAACCTCTCTGTTTGGCTACAAATCTAAAAACAAGGTAACGTTGGCACGATTTCTCAATGTGTACTTCGTCATCGTACGGTTTCACCAAACAGCCGCTTCTTTTGTGTGCGATTTACCACACTATTTTGATCTCTCCTCGTCATTTTGTTGAATTGGTTCGCGTACCACGAGTCATTTCTGACCTATTTTTCCAGTGAGCGCGGCTCTGTGTGATACCACCGCAGTATGTTACTATTTTAAATCCATTTATTATTATTAACTGACGTCTTACAGTTTATATTCGGCTTGTACTTTAGAGCCGTTTCGTTGCCTTCACGCTGATCAATCTCAGCGTGTTAGTCTAACCAGAGAAATCAAACTCCAGTTCACTTATATGCAATTAGGTGGGTGGGGGGAGAACCTTGGTAACTATCTCTAGTTGGACAATGCGCCCTACCCCATATTCCAGCATCGTATATCATTGTTCGGTTTCCGGATACGACCTCGCCATAACGCCTCCAAGTCATTATCCATCTTTTTCCTCCGGGCTACGACTGGTGCCACCTAGAAGGACAAGTGCTCCACTTTAGTAAGAGCCTATGCAGTGGATCTGAGGCATGCGTTCGCACCTTGATCCTATTGCTTACCTCGGGACTGGCAAAACGGTCCCAAACCCCAGTACACATAGTCATTTTCATATGTTGAGGCGAAATATCTCGTTTACCCACTTGAAATGCGGTCGCGAATAGTTTACATAGCACACTAACTCAAAGTAACCTGTTCTGCCATATACTAAAGACACAGCTGTGCTACGCTATAGTGTTTAAACAGTAAACAATCTGTCTCGCTAAAATCTGTTTTTATAAATTCAAATCCAGTGTGAATGTCGAAAACACGGTCAGGTGACATGCGGGTTATGAACAAACGGGTTAGCATGAATTTCGTGTGGCACTGCAATATTTGTTGGGACGTTATTCCGGCTATACCATATCCCCCTTAATAAACGAAATGTAGGAAGGTTTGTGTACGTGATATAAAGGCACTGAACGGGACTGGCAGAAGCCCTTGTGACACACCGAGTTTGCCAATGTCTGTGCTGGCCAATCACTTAAATGTGCCCACATGAATGCACCAATGACATTCACTTTCCCTAAGTTTTCCAATTTCGATGCACGATTATTTGTGTGCATACATGAGATGTAACTTGGGAGACGCCCTGAGCTATAATAAGTTTCCACCGAGCCTACCATTACCTTGGACGCTAAATGTTCACACTAGTGAACCATTTATCTTCAGTAGAGACCCATAACCAAGGAGAGCGGTTTAAATTAAGCCTTGTACGGATGTAACGGAGTTACCGGCAGAAAGACAAAGTGGTTTGTTCTCCGGAACATAAAATACTTATTATAGAAAGGCCAGGATTGAAATTCTGGATTTTATTGAACGTAAAGAGGAATTTTATGCGTTTAAAGTCGGTGATTCAGCATTAGTGGCAAAATTCCAAGGCAAACGATACGCCTCCGGGTGGAGTAACACCGCAAAGCTTGCGACTCAGCAGAAACTTGTTCCTTCAGGTGCAACGAGGGATCCAGCAATGCTTATTGAAATTTGCCAATTTGCTTTCGAATGCTTCTACGGCATCATACGAGGTGATTTGTGCAGTACAATGTCATCTTGGTCCGAAATTTATTGAAAATACAATCTACAACTGTGAAAGATATAAGATATCAATTCGTATAGGGCTACATTTTACTTCGCTGTTTATGTAAATGGTGAATCGAGTGAAATCGTCCAGCCACTGCATTTTTGGAATAATGAACTGTCAGTTTCCTTTTGTATTCAATGTTATTTTTTTCAAACAAATATGTTGTATTTTAAGAAACTACGTTCGCGTAATATTTGGACACGTCTTCATTCCTGTCTACAGTCTGGTGCGAATTGAGGAAACCAAGTTTTCGATGATCTGAGGAGTTATGAAAAACACGAGCACCTTTAATATTTCTGAATTTTGATGTAATTCTTACTTGTAGCTGCGGGAAGCATACTTAGTTACAATGAGATCCAGGATACTTGGTAAAATTGGCATGAAATGAACTCCAGATGTGCGCTGATTCTCAAAAGTCCGAGTTTTGTTCAACTCGACAGGACCACAGTGTGGAACTAGGCCGTTTGTGCCACACAGATACCCGAGGGGATAGGGGGTAGCAGGCACAACCATTTACTAGACGGCTCAGCCAAGTTGAGTTGCCGAGGTAGCATGTGAATAACGTGGTTGTTGTCCCATAGAGTCTGGGTGGAGCAGCCAAAATACAAATGCCGAATGGTCAAGTGAAGCGAATAGCGAGGACTGGTACATGCCCAGGGGTGCATGAGTGAGCGAGTCCTCATGACTGTGAAAAGGGGCGGTGGTTCGGGGGATACGGGACGTCAATCAACACGAATCACCGTAGCAGTACTAACCCACACGCACGACACGCTTAATCACTCTTGGATTAAAAAACAAAGCAATTTTCTGATCTTACACACGCCGATATTTCTGGGATCGAACTAATAACCAAAACAGGAAGGTTTTTGCCTGTCAGCCACGCGTTATCAACTGACCTCATTTATCAGTTTTTTTTCGAATAGATGACAATTGACGTAATTTGTTTGGATCAACCTGGAATACAAACACACTCCTGTGACATTATCTTAAATGAAAATCAAGTCATCGCTTGGTAACACTGCTATTTTTTTGCTTAGAAAATCATAACCTGGAAGTAATTATGAAAAGGTGCAGGTGTTACAAGGAGAAGCCCAGTGTCTGCAAGAACACAACCCTAGTGTTTCCAACGAATCACTCGACTCACGCTCTGGTGTACAGTCGCGGATGCTCCGAGGTGGTCTACGGCGATATCTTGCGTGACCTGCATGGTGAGCCTTGCATCACATACTGCATGATACGCCTGTGGGGAACATTCAGTAGAGTTCCGTTTGCTGCTAGGTCGGAGCGTGAGTTCAAATTGTAGGAGTTGGTTATGGAATGAGCACACACTTCAACCGCTGCCTCATTTCGGCATTCGATGCCGAATGAGGAGAACGCGCAGTTGGCCTGTTCGTCATGAGTCTCACTCCAAAACCGGAATTCGGCGTCTCTTCTGTTGCAGAAAACGTCGGATCTTTTAGACGTTCGTCGTCTTAAAAGTAGGCATTGAAGCCAAACTTCGGTTATCGCCATCCACACCACTGAAACCGTTGACTAGTTAGCGAGGTCTCTGGCCGTCAAAGCCTGCTTCCAGATCTTTTTGTTTGATCAGCACGATCACACCACGTTCTATAACTCATGCATGGAAGTTCTTGTCTATTTTAAATCACCAATGCTTGGGTTGTTTTACTAATATTGTTGATATAAATGCACAACAGTTCTGGCGAGATTTTTCAAAGCGGACTGCCTTCTAGAAGTCAAGTCAAATCCACATTAAGGCTTATTTCAGTTAAAGGATCAGACACATACCTGTGTGTAGTGATCAAACATAGCAGGCCAATTGAGCTGTCAAATTGGTAATACAAATGTAGGGAATGAATGTGTGAACTTGCAGAAGAATGTAGGATTTGGCCGCAGATAACTCTTAAAGCAAAATCTTTAGTTCAGAGAGATCCGTAAACTGTCCAATTGTCAACATTCCGATTACAATATTGCTTGTATTAGTTAAATTTACCACTGTCATTTTCAACAAATTTACACTCGAACCCGATTCAGAGAAAGTATTGGCAAAGGTAAAGGTCTCAGCGTAGACTTGTCAGGTGCCAACCTAGAAGTTCAAAAGAGGATATTGGTGGTTAGACTAAAACGTTGGAACGCGGCGCTGAGCATTGAGCCAACGCCCGCAAGTTGTTCCCTGCGCCCGGTTACGGATGCATTGAACGAATTCGCAAATTATTTGAAGACGCGGTCTGACAGTGGAAGTCAAGAAGGCAATTCATGAGCAAACAGAGAATGAGCGCAGATGAACAGCTGTCGAGGTTGTCAGCATACTATAAACCCATCCTCCGTAGTCGGCAGCCTTTGTTCAATTCGCAGTTGGTTTGAGGGGGGAGGGTGGACACGTGGCCCGACAGTGAAGGGAGGGAGCAAACGTGGTTGTTGGTCGACGTTAGACCCATTGCCGCACCAGCAAGCATAAGACAGGGGGTTAATTTAAATTAATAAGAACTAGCAAAATCAATACTCAATTAACACGTTGTTTAAATGAGTCATTGTACGAAGGCTACACAAAAGAGGCCTTCATGAAGGGCCTGAGTCGTTTTACCCCGCGAAAACATCGTACATCTTAATTGTCTCCATTTTAGTCTTCAGGCTTCTTGTTCCCACGAGCCTCTGCGTTGTCATGATAGCCTGCCTCCTGTCCGTCATTGTAACCTTAAGAGTGGCCAACCTGGAACTTGGCGACGCCGAATCGCCCTCCCTCACGACCGCCATCCACGGCCGTGCTAACGTGAAGGACACCCCCCCACAGACCGACCAGAAACCCAAGAGGCTGTCAAGCGTGGCAGGGCCAGCTCTGCGCAAACTGAACTTTGAAGGCGACTCGTACTAACCCCCCCGTCCACACTCTTCCCTTTCCGAGACCACAACAAGATGCTTGGGCACGTTGTCTGTTCTAAACAATGTCACTTGATCAAGCGTATAGGCTCGAAGTGTTTCACTATTTCGACTTGGGGAAGTTAGGCTTAAAATGGTTGTGAGAAGCTGCAAACAGGACACTAAGATCGCCGCATAAAACAACTCATATCCTGACTGGATTGTTAACATAAAAAGAAACATGTGTGTTAGGTTAGAGCACGTGGTATGGCGTAAACAGGGACTACTAGGTTAACCGAGAATCAGCTGATCAGTGACTTTGTTGTAAACAACTAGGAAGGAGATGATTTCCGTCATGATGCAAATTCACACAATCGGTAGAATTTATTGTACACTTGCACACAGCTTGTTGGGTCGTCAGAAGGAGGAAAGAATCCGAGGCAGAAGATACAATATGAGCAAAAATCAAACTCGGAACAGAGGGGAAGGGAAGGGGAAACGCAGTGAGAGCACACACACACACACAGGAGGTCAACAGAAATGCAAGCAAAATTAAAGTTATGAGGAGGAGGGGGGGTCTGAGGTGGATGAAGGCTGGAAGCACGATAGTCTCGTTTTCTTCTTCGCGTCCGGGTTCAAAGGGGGAGGGATCAGCAACCACAAGAGGTCTTCCAGCCGCTCTCTTGTGGTTGCTCTATCGGCTTCAATTCAATGACTGGATGGAGGTCAAGGAACACAGAACAAAAAAGGAGGGGAAACTAGCACCAACAGGAATTCTGCATGGCTCCGCTGCGATCCGACGGCTGTATGTGGTCCCTTAAACGAATCTCGATCACTGGCCACCCGAAACACAGCAAGTCAAACCACATTACGAGCAACAAGTTATGCCAAAACCAATCAGCATTAAACCGCAAACGTGAATTACGCGGCAAAGCGTTAGTGCCAAGCAAGATAAATTAGAGTGCAAAAAGGAAAACAGCATTTAATGAGTTAAGGTAAAATAACCGTGCATACTTATCAAATACACATTTCAATTTTTTCGCGCTAGAGTACAAGTAAACAGGCATTGCCTAGTTGGCTAGCGCCTTAACGGTGTACACGCGATAGCCGAGCTCACAAGGGGGGTGGACGGCTGTCGATCGGAGTGAATCGCTACCACCAAGCAAGGTGTTCCAATGTCAAATTCAACCAATCCCAGCCATCGATGCCTCAGTGCTAACCTAAAAGCAGGCAAGGCGATAAAGCCTCCAAGCGCCTTCGGTTGTGCCGTCTCTCATAAGGTCTAATTAAAACATTTTACCGTAAACTGCGCCTCCAATCCTTTAACTACTCAGGCCACTTAATTGACGCCGCTGGCACATCAATTCAAAACAGCCAAGCCGACAGCTATCTTACTTGTCAGGGAGATTACGCCCGTTAGGTAATTGTTTGTCAACTTATTGCTTAGTAAACAAACTTGATACTGGAGAGCTACGTCTCGTGGGAGGGAGTATGCGCCAAATCGACGCGCCCAGTCGACAATCGTAGCAGGAAAAGGATACGGTCGTCATGTCGGGGAGGAGGGGTCTCCTTCTTCAGTAGCTCGGTAGCTATCCTTCGGAAGAGCTAATAAAACAGAGAAAACCACGTGTAGGTTAGCGGTGACGCAGTGAAGGAGCGCCTGCAATGTCTTCCATTTTGGTTAAAAAGAAAACGTGAACCCAGGCACGGAGGGCTGAAAGACAAAATCTTAGACGGCTTGAGATCCTCTCATTACACTGCCAATCAGACCATGATTGAAAGTCTGCCGCGCCTCGACAAACATAATGAAACCGCGCATCATAAAACACTACTTATATAGATAAGAGTAGTCAGAGCGAAAATGATGAGTTGATGACGCCGGAAGGCAAAATGTGAAAAGAGACGTCGCTGTGAAGAATCTAGTCGAGGTAGACGTTTGGGAAGCGCAATAAACAAATATCGTGCTATTGCCAAGTTGGTAGTGGTGGCCGATAAAAACCAATTACACATTCCCCTGGGCGCTTAGTTGGCAGATCGGTTTGAGATTTAAAGATTGAGGTAATCAGGGGTGATACAAGCAAAAGCCGGAACAGCCGATTTTGGCTCGGGCGCGCTCTGGAATTAGCAGAAAACGCACAAAACAACGAACGACGGCACGACATGGACGAGAGTCGCCACACAGACGAGGGGTCACAGACCATGAGAGGATGTGTGGGTTTAGAAGGGGGACAGTGGACGCTGGTGGGATGAGTGGTAAAGACAGGCACCATCGATTAAATAAATAGTGTATGAGCCACGAATGTTAAAACCCCGCAAAGATTTTTCAGGGTAAAAGACAACTATTAGGTGCTTGATCTAATTTTCACAGAAATTTTCTTGGAACTTTAAATTATACTTAGGGTAGGAATATTTTCGTAGTCTTTTGTGATTTTGAAAGGATCGGATGCAAGGTTTCAGAACACCAAACGACAAGTCTACGTGAATTACAAAACCTCTCAAAGTAGCAGAGTGTACGATGACAACTGACCAACAGTACATTCGATGGCACTGCATTTTGTGCGAATTCCAACGGGAGGAAAATGCTTCTAAAGCACGGGAGTCAATTCGAAGTGTATTTGGTACCGACGTTGTCCTCTAAAACGTGTAATTATTGATACAAACGTTTCATAAGAAGTGGTGATTTCGAGCCAAGTGACCAGCCACACCCGGGACAGCCTTGAAAGTTTGAAGGTGCGGAATTGAAGGCTCTATTGGATAAAGACAACACAAACGCAGCAAGAGCTTGTAACGCAGTTAGGAGTCGCTAAAACAGCTAATTCCAAGCGTTTGTACCAAAAGGGGGAAGTTGGGTCCCACATGTGTTGGTCGAACACAACCTAGGTCGCACACGTCTTTCATTGCTTGCTCGACAATAACAAAAAAATGACTCCTTGTGAAAACTTGTGGTGGGTGATGAAGGGTGTCTTTTACGAGAATCCCAAGAGTAAAAAGTCGTGGGCAGATCCCGGGTGACCCAGCACATCAATGCGGAAGCAGGACAGCGACTTGAAGGAAGTTATCCCGTATCTGGCGGGAATTGAAGGGTGTACTTTATCACGAACGCCTGGAAACTGGTTGTCAGACGATGACTACGAGACGCTACAGCCGACAAGCAAACAAACTGACCAGAAAAGGCCATTTACTGAGCAAGGAAGCAGGCATGACAACGCCTGACCTCATGTTGCTTGCGCGACTCAGAAGATCCTCTTGAACGAGGGACGGGAAGTTCTTCTACATGCGGCGCATTCACCAGGCTTAACCCTACCCGATCATCGTTTGTTCCGGTCGATACAGCAGCACGCCTTAGTGGAAAAACAGTTCCCAGAACGCTGGACAATGTGCGTAAATTCGTCGTCGGTGACTTCATTGTCTTGAAGTCTGTGAATTTCTTTCGCGACAACATTCGTACGTTACCTGAGAGATGGCGCAACGTCACAGAAAAGAATAGACAATATTGCCAAGATTAAGCTAAGTACTCTCTACTTATTTACACCAAGAAAATTTACTGAAAATCTGAAAAAATAAGCCATACACCAATAGAATCAGTCCAAGTTTTCGCGCACAAGATGGTTACTGAAAATGTACTCGGGGTCACGAGGTCTCAAAGCGCAAAATAATCGAGTGCCATCAATCGATGGTAGGGTTCATACATTCCTGTTAAAAAAACTTCGAAGACACTAATTTGTCTTACCACATTCCTCATCGAGGGAATAATTACCTTTAATTTGACATGCACCGAACAATCTGTTAAAAGATTGTTACATTGTACTACTTCAAAACCAAACTTACTACTTTATGCGTATTTATTTTAGACATGGAAAACGAATTTAATAGGATCGCATAATCCGCGCTGACTGAGGGGGAACTATTAGTAAACCTGATAGAGTCAATTCTACAAATTAGCTCAACAGAACGCCGGAACTGAACAACATCACAGAAGGAACCAAGTATGGCTTGGGAGGAGAAAAGGCTTAATTGGTGGACCATAGCACCCAAGTCAGCGGCTCTACGGTAAACGACTGAGTCAGATTGGAGTGGCATCAAATCCAAACCCACACACGCGACTGCAACAATCTCTTCAAAAACTACCGTACCTGAAGGCAAAGTAAAAGGCACGGGTGCCAGGGGTAGCTTGTTTACAACGACTAAGGGAGAAGCACAAGGAGCAAAACATTAAGGTGCGACCTCGACACGGAAGCAGGAACAGTCTATGAACTAAACAGATGCAAAGATTGGGAGGTGGCTACCCAAAGAGGCCTCACATTTAACCCAAGTTGAATAATCATGCGTATTTATCGAATACCCAAGGAATCCTACAAATTACGAAGCCTTCATAATGCCAAAAATGTGTCGAAGAACATTTAGAGCTCCGCAGAGCCCTAGTAAATTGAGCCCATCAACTGGCCACGTGATTCACTCAAGTATTATTGGCTTTTTGGTACAAGTCACACCTTTAGCCAAAATCATTCCGAATTATGATTTCTGATAGGTTGGGATTATATGGTCCATTCAAGGGCACGCCAACGATTGAAAAGGTCAATACTTAGCAAACAGTTAAAATTGCCAGGGCAGCGAACGGTAAATTCCAATGTTAGTTCTAACAAAACCGTTGGTGTGCATTGCTCAAGGGCAAAATAGACTAGAAGTTTAATTAAAAACATCACTTTTCATAAAAATAACTTAAAAACGCAGACACTTTGGTGTGCGGGCCTATATCGTGTCACCGAAATGCGATTAACTGATATTTTACATTTTCTAATGTCAAGTTTTCGTTTTTGAGTACGTGTTCCTCAAAATTCGCCGAAACGCAGAGAGTGGCTATGGCCGTCTACTACACATACATTAGATTCGCATTCTACAAGAAAACCAGTAAGTCAATAAGCAGTTTTTCGTACGATATTTTATCGTTTACGGCAGTAATTTATCCGACTTTAACATTAATGAAAGCAATAGAAGTAAAAAACCCTCTCAAACTATCGAATCTACTAATCTCATACGCAATATTCTATCAGTTCACAAACCCGAAAAGTTAGGTACGTCTGTTACTAACCGTACTTATCTTGAAGAAATAAGATTGGCCTGCACGAATAATAAGTGCGTACTTTAGCAGTGTATCGAAATTGTGAGAGGTTTGATGGAATGGTATAACAAATTCATGGCTTTGAAAAAGTTAACCATGACGACAATAATATTTGCAAAAAATGAATATAAGATAACACAGCGTACATTCTTAACGTTGTAGCCAGCCTTTGCGCTCGTTTCGACGAACATAACATTGAGCTCTGTTGCCAGAAGCTCACCTTCTTCAGTTGTAACTTTTCTAGATTTACTAAACAATCAATCATTAGATTACCGTTTGTCTGCGAGGTCTGTTTTGTTGCCCACTAGCATGATAATTACGTCGTTCCCTCTTTCATTGCGAACATCATCAATCCATTTAGTAGTCTGTGAAAACGACTCTCTCACTAATTAAAAAGCTAAAAAATTGCGAAATAACTCACTGCAAATATCATACACAACAACAGCAACTGAGGAATCTCTGATGTAGCTAGGTATCAGGCTGCGAAATCGCTCCTGGCCAGCAGTGTCCCAAAGCTGAAGACGGATCTATGAGGACTTATGATAGCCAAAAAGTCAAAGTACAGTCCGGTCCTCCAGATACATGGTTTTCGAAAGGAAATCTATGCCAATAGTTGCCTAGTCCAAATTGAAACCTCTGATTCGCTTTACCTGGTATACACTGTCAAATGTTTCATACATAAACCTTGTAATGAGCGATGTTTTCCCAACTATAAGAAAACAACTAACTAACCAAATTATGAACAAACCACTTTGCTCGCCAAGAAAAACAAGTTTAAATTTACGCAAAGGATTGTTAAATTCAGATGTACCAGACATCCTACACGTTTAAGGTAATGGGAAGATTATTAAAAACAGCGCCAACTTCAGTAATAAATCAAACACGCGAAGTGCCACTTAGTAATAAAATGCATTTGCTCAAAGTGCACAACATTTAAAAAGGAAGATATTGATGTGCATAACAAATGTGAGGTGTAGTTATTGATGCTTTAGTAAAAAGCCATTTTAAAATTGGACTGATTTTTAAAATATTTAGAATAAAAACAGTTTTTAAGAACTTCTGAAAATTTAATAATTTAATATTTATTTGTGCACCGTTTTGCAAAATTTGAATTTCTGCCCAAATAGGAAGTATTTTTGAGCTGCTTCAGTGTGTGTTTCCGATATAATTTTGAAATATACAAAACCAAAATTGAAGCTAATTTTGTTTCGGATCTTTACAAAAACTACATTTTAAGTATATATAATCTATATTGGACAATGTTTTAGACTTTTCTAGTCTATTTCTGGGATGGAGAAAGTCTCTGGCAGGTGCAAATTTCTTTAATAAATAACTGGTAATTGCTGTGACGAGTTTTTCATATGTATTGAAATCATGAAATTCTAGTAGGTGAATTTAATATCATTAGCTTTAGAACTACTTATAAAGGTAAAATGAAGTTTCTCAGTTCATATTGGCAGTCCCAACTACTAATCATTCATGTCTCATTCACCCTGCTCACTTTTTCGGTAAATAAAACTGTGCGACATATCAGCAAAAACTACTGCCCAGCCTTAAATGCTAATTATCACCACATCACGTTGATAACTCATTTACAACAGGTGAGTGAACACTACATGTTGTGGCCTACTATCAACCATTATGTTTATATTAATTATGTATTTCGTAGACAGGCCAAAATAAATCGGATATCCTGATTTAAGTTAAAGTCGCACATTGGTGCCATTTTAACAAATATCACCAAATATCTTCTACATTACCTCTAACTTATTCGTGCAAAACAGACTATCAAAATGTTTAAAAGATAAGATGCAATCATTTTTGTGTGAGCCTGTCGATTTTCCAACTCTTTCGGCCTGCAGATTTCACATGGCATTGAAGGCACTTTTTGTGTATTTAGCTCGCTAGCATGCGAAAGATATATAATTTTGGGGCAGTCAATAAATGCTGGCAAATATCTTTAAACTCTTCGCTCTAATTATTAAAGCTTTGTCATGACTTTGGTGGGCTGCGAAGTCTCTCAATTCAATCAGTTAACTTTGGGAGCAAAGCATGAAGTCTTGTCTCTTTTGTGATTACAGTGATTCAAACTGCTCATAGGTGATGAAAAAAACAATGGTTATTTAAAATTAAACAGATTTTAGCAGCATCACCACGAGTCTTCTTTGAGCCAAAAAACTTAATTACAAATTTAATCCCAAATTTAAGAAAAGCAGGAAATCGCTGTTGTTATAATGCCCTGTCTCTGCTTCATAAATAATGCGGGACAACGAAGCTGTTTTTTACACATGTAAAACAAAACGTGGCAGCAAACCCAGGAGATCGTTTTGATGAACATTACTGAGAAGAATTTTTAATTTTTACCCAAGCATTTAAACAATAATCACACATTAACTCATTTGACTAAATTCTATGTCCTCAAGACATATTTCTTTTTTTTTTCTTTTACTCATTGCTGGCGTCAATTCTTAGTGTTTTTTTACTAACGATTGAAGCATCTCCTTTCAACCAAACAAAATACTCAGGCGTGTATGGAAAAGTGACCAGGTTTCAAGAAACCAGAAATTTTTATTATAAAATACCACACAAGTTATGGAAATCATCAAAGCAAGGTATTCAGTTTACTTGCTATCGTAACAAAATTGAAATAATATTCTAGTTTTGTACACACAAGGTGAAGATTTATGGTACATGTCGCTTCCGATAGTAGTAAACTTTTGAGTTGCATTTCCTGCAGCTTTCCTTTACCTTGACTCCCCTTATACCGGCTGAAAAGCAGAATGCGAACAGTACAAATATGAGTAAAAGGAAATTAACTTTACGTCACTGAAAATTCTACAGAATCCAAAAACCGATTGGGCAAAGTTGTACGTAGAAATAAGCATTGTAATATTTGCACGCTAATGTGCACGCAAAACCATGTTGGCACAAAAAATGCTTCAATGCAAACCCACCTTCTGATCATTTATTTCTGTTCGTACCCTCATCAAATCTTTCCAGGATCCTTAATTTATGTTCTCTTTTTAGAAGTCGGATATTTTTGCTTGTTTTAGTGATCTGGAAGTTATTGATTTTGATACCTTCATTTATGACTAGTTTTGTTAACGCATTAACGAGCTCATTTAGAGGCAAGATTCGTATGACTTCTGCACCAGGTATACAAATTATTTTTAAGTTCACAATAAGTAATTGTACAAACGGCTTACAGACCTGTATTAAGTTGGACATTATTATTCGTACATCCTTAGCCGAAAGTTCTCGATTAATGATGATAATCACGGGTGTAAGGCAGTGGCATAGTTTTGACTGTGAAGAACTGAGGTTTTGCTACAATCGGACCAAAAACTTACTCAGTTCCTCAATTGTGGGGACGTATTTGTGTCCACTCGTTGGCGGTGGTACGTTTTCGCGGAAGTAGTCCAAAAAGTTACCTGATGGTTTGTAGTGCCCAACCACGTATATGGAGGAACCGTCTTTGCTTCGAGCAACTCCGAAACCGGCCTTACGGGTTTCTTTCCAAACCAGCTGAGTGAAATGACCTTTGAAGGATACAAAACCGGTACCTTTTCAAAACACTAATTCCCACCTTGAAATTAGTCTTAAAGTGATGCTGCGAAATTAAAACCAGGGAAATATCCGACTAATCCTTGATATATTTAATAATGCCATTGTTAATGCTTCCGCATTGGACTGCTAAAGAGAAAATCTGCTTAATCTGAGGAATTCATTTTTAACTTGCAAACATTTTTTTTCACTTCGTCGAGAATCACATAATCAATTTGAAGTCGCGAATTGAAAAAAAAAGCAATGCAGACAGGTAGAAAACTTACCACAGTTGGTTTGGTTTTCCTTTTTAAAATTGTAGGAGCTTATTTCACTGTACCAGGCCAGAGTTGCCTGTTGACCTGAAATGATAACATAAACGCGCAGCATGACTTTTAATGAAGCAAATAAACTGATATTAATTTACAATAAAAAAATAGGTTCATTCTGAAAGAATAACAAAAAAAAACTGTCACTTAATGTAAGAATGAGACCACGAATTGGTCCCCCTACCACGTAAAAACAACAAAACAAGGCCTTGGTAAGCGCCATCAAAATGGCAGAGTGAGTTGTAAAGTAAGCACATTTGTTTGTTGCCAAGTTATTACCTAAAAGAGACAACCGAATAAAAAGTCATCTGGTTGTATAAAAACCTACCAGTCAGAACTATTCCCTTGTGACCTCTTCGAATGATGAGATTCTCCCCATAGTCGGTGCATTCACTGTGCTCAAACAAGTCCTTCCTTGCCAAGTACTCGGCGTACTCTTGAGCAGATTCTGCTAAGGAATGACTAAATCGCAGAGGTGGACATCCGTGGAGTTTTCGCAAACTGCATAATAGATGGACAAGCTATGAGGTTGGAAAAATCCAGTTAATTTATAAAGGCAGAAAAGAATATCAATAGGCATGCATGACTGCATTGAACCTCCTTTAACGGTGTGTGTTTGTCGCTGTTTTAGAGGAAGAGTATAATCTGACAGACCAGTGTTTAGTCAAGCCAAGGCGCTCTTATGCTACCCCTGATTTCATGAATGCATTCTTTGGAAAACCAAATTTCCATTTTCCTTCATTAGGTTGTAACCCTCCTGTCAAACGGGCGAGAAAAACGAGTGTTAGATCTACCAGCTTCTGTTGTTCCAGTTTCGCATTTCAACCCACACAGGAACATTTTAAAGGAGTTTTTAAGTTTCGCCTTTTGGCCAACCGACAGCTCTTTTTTACTGGAAAAACTTGGTTGTTTTTCAAATAAACTATTTCATAATCTGTCAAAGACGAGTGAGCAATTAACAATGTCTAATAAATCGTCATTAAAGCCACAGTTTTGCTTGTAATACCATTTTAAAACCATATTTACACAAACGAGAAAAGACAGTTATTTTGGCAATGGTTACATTAGGCGAGGACTAATTTTTTTGCTTGCTGTTTAACACTCAAGCTTTAATAGTGTGATTAGGGTGCACTTTACCCTTTTTTAAGTGTCAAAAATATCTTCATTCGGTGCCACGAGACTTGCCGAAATTCTAGAAAAATGACCATCTACCAGGCAGTTTTATTTGGGTCTTATTGATTACGTATTTTGGAAGAATCTTTGAGGTTAGCTAACCAAAATCACTTCCAGTACCGTTTGAGGCATTCGCCAGACTATTGCCAAATTTAAATCCGTTTATTATTAATTTCAAATATGCAATTATCCGAGATTCTAGTTAATCTGTAACTTATTAAGAAATGCATGAGCTCTAAGGGAACGCGCAGTGTCGTGTGATATTCAAACATGCAACAATTTATGTGGATGATAAATTTCCAGATATCAATTTTTTTGATTATTTAAAATGAACATGATTAGATGTAATTAGATTAAAACGTATCCCTTTTCAGCTTCCTGGCGCTGAAACGTTTGAGGTTGAATACAACATCAGGCAGGAGATATCAGAAGCCGCAGGAAAACTAGAGACAAAGCTTGGGTTTTACTTGATTGCTAATCTGACTCAATGCAATTTAATGCCTCTGATGAAACCCCAGTGTCGCTGCACAGAGCTCTTACTTCAAAAGTTTAGTCGCAACCAAGGTGACTTACGAATCATCAGTTTATTGATTTTATCTCAGGACTTGAAGGTTATTACCATTATTTCTTGGGCCTTCTGAAACCTAGAACACACAACCCTGGAAATGCGGAGATCTCTCCAAATAAAAAATAACAGAATTAAGACAGGTCCAATTGGATGGTGAGAGTCCCTAAAATGTCTTCGGAATTTCTCACGTCTATCCAAAAGGAGATTAACTCGGAGTCAGCAATAACGCGAAATCTGGCATTATTCGGGGGATGCATTGTAATCACTAATGGCAAAGCGGATAGCATCACTTAGTCTTTTTTTGTTTCACACTTTTGGCATTTGTTTGTTTTCCAATTCAAAGTTATGTCTTTTTTAATTAAATTAATTTGGGCCTGCTTGCGCACATTATGACCATTCAGATGGTATCCCATTAATAGCTTTAGAGATCGACGTAACCTCAAGGATGCAGCAGAAAACACACTTTTGGAAGAAACGGCGGGAACGGAGACTTCTTTTTTCTTGGCTGGTAGCCCACGTTTAATATATCGCAAGCTTCCTGGTCACCGCAGATAAATGCTTTACGCTTTGTATTTCATTCAAGAAAAAGTCATAATTGTCTAGCTCGTGAAACGTCATTGTGAAAATGGATTAATTGCAATGCCTTGCAAAGCCGGTGACCATAATTCTAACCCCTTAGTTTATTTTTTTTGCAGATTATCAATAACCAGGGCGTAGTTTCGATATTTACCAAAGAGAAATGGTTAAACAAAACAGGCTCCAATGAGAGCTTATGCAAACTTAGGCTACGTGTCGACAAACACGGCATTGACCTGCTTTCTTTGAAAATGAAGCACCACACTAATCAGCCCCACATTGATCAACCACAGAGCAGACTGCACATACTGCGTGGGTATTCTTTGTTATGCATTTGAAGATGACACAAATTCAAGTTTGTAATGAGATTTGAGCACTCCACTTCAGTGTAAAAGCGCAGTTGCACATTTTTACTTTTGCAAACACTTTCAAGACTAATGTAATCACGACAGTCCCAGCAACATGCCAGTTGACTTTAGTTGATAACAACAGAAGAATTTCACCTTAAAATCCGAGTGTAAATAAAGTGAATTAGATTAGTCATTGGTGAGATTTATTTTCTACAACTTCCATTTAATACCTAAAGTGCCAATTTAACCATGTTCTAGTACAGTGTTTACTAATTGAATGTTTTGTTTATTTTACCACAAAAATAGCATTCTACCAGAATAAAAACGTAATAATTAAAAAAAGTTGACAGTTGCACCGCATTCCTGTTTATTGGGACTACTGAGTAATCTTAGATTGTCATTAGGCCTCGAAACAGCCATCGATTGCATCGATTCTCCTGAATGCCCGAAATGGCAATTTCAGAGCTACCCACGAAATCAAGATACCTTTTGTTAGATAAAAAACTGCAGTCAGTAGTTCCCTAATCGGGAGTCAATGTGTAGGATACAAAACGTACCGATTGTGCTCATCAAGGCACTCAAAGTTGAAGCGCTTGCTCATGGCGAAGGGCGCCGTTGAGAGTCACTACTGGTGACGCGGAGAGACCCACCTCTGTTAAATCTAAGAGGCACGTTCTTGGGCTACAAGCTGATTGGCTCTCTGCTGCCACAATTGAGTGACACCCTAACTAATAAATGAGTTTCTACGATGAAACTTAACTGAATAGACAAGTAGAAAATCAGTTAAAAGAAAAAAAACAATGAAAAATTGCGAATGTTGTTTCTTCAAATAAAGTCACGCATAAAGAACTGTACATAATTTAACAAAATTTGTTAAATCGTATGTGATTATTATTTATTTCAATAGTGCAAACTCCGTCATCTACTTGAAAATAAATTGACGGTCACCCGTAGGGCAATTCTAGCTATTACGCGGTTAAACCCTTGTGAACTGAATGTGCGTACCTGATTTTACTGGGTTCTAATTGCATAATGGTGCATTTTCTTACACGTTATGGGAATTGGGCTTGCGCTCCTGTGAAGCAACCTGGTGAACTTCTAAAAAGATTACCAAACACTTTTGAACACTGGGTTGCTCAGACTTCGTTTACATCCTGCCACTTATAACCTTTTTTAATAATAAGGGGAGCTCTCTAAATTTTCATTTGGGTCGCAAAAGGGAAATTGAGAAGTTATTGAAAGCTGGTAAACAATACCTCAACGCTAGTACGAAAAAAGAAAGTGCAACAGGACTGGCTTTATCGACGTATTAGAGGCTAGAACGTTTGCGAGGCGCCTTCAGTCCAGATTCAGATTTCGCGGCTGCGTCTCCCACTTTATGGGTGCTCCTCATTCATCCATGTTCCCAGTTGGTTGCTGACACTCTTAATAGGCCATTTCACCACACAAAGACGGAGGTTCGTTTGAGATCCTGATGTGATACAATGAAGCTGTGGACTACTTCGGCACGACACTACAGGAGAGACATTGTTTTCAGCTTCTGGCCTGGTTTCTTAAACTATTATGGTGACCCTGGGTGACGAAATTTCAGTTGAACATTTCCCGATATCACAACTGGCAGCCGAATAACTCTTGTGCAAAGTTGACAAAAGATTATTATTCTAGTTGGTACCACTTATAAATACGGTCTGGCTCTTCGTGTCCCTGGCGTCTTTGTCAACTTCATTAAATGCATCATAGAGAATGCTTATAGACCCAATATTTTTGGAAAGCAGGATAGATTGCGCGGACAAAATGCAGCCAGTTTTCGGGGTTCATTAAGAAACGTCTCTGCCTCTGTCGTCCATGGCTGATGCATCCGCTGCCACCAGCGTAGAATACCGGAGCTTTAGTTTTGATGCTACACTTCCTTTTGCACAAAACTGTCTCCGCCACCAAAACCTCGGCTGCAGGGCGTGAAATGTAATTTTCTGGATCTTGAACTAACTTTTGCTTTGGTTTAATTGTTCCTATTTAAAACTAAACGACTTCATATTAGCTGCTTGGTCTAGTGATACATTTTAAAAGATTTACACTTTGGTAAATGATTAGCTATAACGACTTCCCTCACCGATACAGGGCACATTTTAGCCAACTCGAAAAACGCTTCCTAAAAGCTATCAATGTAATAGTGTTCGATTTTGAAGTGACTGCGACAGGCAGAATTGTCTATATTAGTTACGAAACGGAGAATCTAAAAGTCTATTAGGAATTTCTGAAGTCTAAGGCCTCGAAATTCACCAAAATTGAGGTAAATTTTAAATGAATGGTGTGTTTAATTGTCAGGGATGCCAACATTTTCCAGGACAAGCAATTCAGTAGAGGGAATTTTGAAGTCTATTCACTCAAAGTCAACAGAAGTACCAACAGAACAGACATAAAATGGCAGTAAATTAGCCTACTCTCCCAAAACCGAGTAGTCGCCGCCACCGGAATGGGACACTACTCCACGTCGACCCAGAAGTTAAATGCAATCAACTTCTCTAATGGGGAGAGGTCCTAGGGATGTTACATTTTTTCAAGACAAGTAACTCAACGCAGTGACTTTTGAAGCCTGTTCGCTCAGGTTCTGTTCACTGGAGTACAAATCGACTGTCACTTCGATCGTTTGTTCACTTCAGAAAACTCACCGCTTGGTGTTATTTACCCATCTCATCGATCTCCTCTAAATGAGGCACATAAAAGTTGGCACATCCCCGCTTCTATCGAACTTCCACATCCACTTCTACTTAAGCCCCATCTTGTACTTGACCCTTTGATCTACACGGTAAAACCTTTAGCACACGCTAATCTTC